GGTGGGTGGGTGGGGGGGGGGGGTTGGAAGAGAGGATGGAGGAGGGAAAGAAGAGAGGGTGGGTGGGGGCTGTTGTCTGTACACTGGGTGAAAATATGCTAATCAACCTTGAGGCCCTGTTCAAAACCAAACCATCAGAGCCACTCGCTTCATCGTGGCCCAACTGATCTGAAGGAGTCTGGAGCTGAATAAGCAGATGGCAGCGGCTTCATCGAGCAGCTGAACAGACTCGAGAGAGAGGCCTCTGCCATGTTGACTGCAACTGTTCAATTTCAAAACGATCTTATGGCGAAGCATTTTTGGCAGCCATCTTGAAAGTCCAGTGATCCTAAAGAGAGAAATGTGATGCCTCACGACCTCGGGGTCTTCACACCTTTCCACGTGTATTCAATCAAACTATCAGAAATTGGAGAAAACAGCAAGTTCTGTGGGTCCCACGGATTTTCATTCTGCGGGACAACTTGTACATTATCACATCACTCCGTCGTCGGGGGAAATTCGACACAATGGCATGGAAGAGGGGGAGACGGAGAAACAGAGGGAGGGAAGGATCAGGGGAGAGAAGGCGACAGATGCTACCTGTCTGTCTCATAGGTACCCTGATTACTAGAAGATGAGGAGGAGAGGGGAGGAGGCTGCGTGCCAGTTCATCAGAGCTGGCAGAACAGAACAAAACACAGAAATTGTGTGTGTATGTGTGTGTGTGTGTGTGTGTATGAGGTGTGAGGGGGAGATTTTATGTGTGTGTGAATGCTCTGAATCTGTCCCTTCTTCTAGTGAGAACAGAACAGGAGTGTACGTGTGGCTAATGAACCATGAACACCCGGCTCTCCTGGGGTGACAAACACACACACACACACACACAAAAACACACACACACGACAGCAATATATAAGGGGACCATGAGCAACATCCTTCTCTTGGGACGAGGTCCAGGCAGGGTGGTTTAAGTCAAATAATCCAAGGACGAGACTGAGAATATCAAGACACACGCCCAAGTCTCCAATATGGCAGTCTGTCCTGACAACCCTCGACTGTGACAATTAACCAGTTTCCTTCAGTTTTGTGTGTGTGTGTGCGAGTCATCTACAAGCTGTTCCCCCCTCTGTCCCAGCAACATCAAAGCCTTGGACTAGGCTGCCTTGCCCCTATCCTGACACTTAAACAGGCATCCCAAGCCAGCCCGCCCATTGTACCACACTGTTGCCCAGGCCCATTAACACACCAACCAGCACACACATACACACGCACAAATGCACACACACACACACACACAAAATGGAGTGAAAGAGAGGCCATGCCCCCCAAATGGAGGTTATGTTTGATACTGAAGCGACAGGGCCGGATTAGCAACACTATACATGACAATGGTGAGGGTGGGCGGGAGTGTGCAGGCTGTGTGTGTGTGTTTGTGTGTGTGTGTTTGTGTGTGTGTGTGTATGAAAAAAAAGTACTTCCTTTGTGACATCACCCTTGCCCTACAGCCTTGCCCTCTGCGAGGTTAAACACACCAAAGAGGTTGGCTAAGTTAGACACACACACAGACACACGCACAGACGCACACAAACCCGTAGCCTTCCTGCGTTCTTTTGTGTGACAGAAAAGTCTGGCCGAGGGTGTAAAACACAATAGCAAAGAGAGCAGGAGAACAAGTGAGATGAACAAGAAGAGGAGCGAGGAAGAGAGAGGAAGAGGAAGAGGAAGAGGAAGAGGGAGAGGAAGAG